GAGGGAGGCGGCGAGGGCGGGGGCTTCGGGTGGTGCTGGGGGGCGGGGAGCCGGGCAACCCGAGTGGGGCGTGGGCGGGGGGTCGGGAGTGGCCAGCCAATCAGGCGGGCAGTGCCACCTCAGGGAATGACGCTCGGGCCAATGGGAAGGGCACTCCATTCCGTCAACGCCGTGGGTCGGGGCTCTGAGAAGAGAGAGCCGGGTGGGAGTCGGGCCAGGCTGGTGTGTGCCCGAGGGAGGGGGAGACAGAGAGAGAGAAGTTCCTGCGAAGAACTGCGGGAATGTGCGGCTGGAATTCACGCTCCCCCGGCCCAGGCTGCCGAGGGAGCGCCGGGCCCTGCTCGCGGATACCCCGCCACCCTGACAGAGTGGCACCAGGGACCCTCCGCCACGCATCCCTCCATCCCTGCGATTGCAGTGCCTTAAGAAAGACGCGCTGCTCAAGGAGGCACGTTCATGCTGTTCTGTATTTCCACCCCCCGCCCCCCCACCTCCGTTTCATTATTCGCCTTTTCACAATTGCAGAAACCATAATGATGGAATGGAATGTGTAGCCTTTCCGTTTTCTTTTTAAAAAACGCTAAAGCTTAGCAAAAGAAAAGAAAAAGGAAAAGAATGCCGAATCGAATGCAGGGTTTTGGTGAAGGGCCCTGTAAACAAAACAGAAATGTGCTGGGGTTTTTCTTTGACCCATCGAGATGTAAAAGTGGGCTCAAGAAATGCAATTAATTGCCTTGCGCATTAAATTAGAGCACGTAAAGATTAAAAATGCATGGACACGGAGTATTTAAAATTTCACCATGACGTATAATATTAATCCGTTTTGTGTAAAATTCATACCTTTAACTTAATTTAGGCCATTAATGCACCGCTTCACGTATTAGCCGGCGTATCCCGCTTTAAATAAGACGGTGACAATGTCCAGAGGCTCCTCTTTAGCAATAAAGCATTAAAATTCCCAATTCCCGTCCCTAGGGTCCTGCTTGGGCCCCGCCCTATGAAAAAACATGTTAATTAAAGACTTTTTTTGTGTTAGATTTCTAGTGGAAAAGCTGTCCTTCAAGGGCTCAAAATAAAATTGCACACTGAACTTTGGTGGGGCATTGTGTGCACACGTCTAGAAAGAATTGAGTCCTTTAGATGAGAAATGAGCATAAAAATGCTCAAAGGGGAAATGAATTTTGAGCGCCTTCACCCTGCAAACACTCCCACCTTTAGACACGCTTGGAGATAGATGAATTATTAACCCAAGAATTTTCTTCATTCGTGCACGTGACATGGATTGGTGCCTTCATGTTCATAGATAATTGAGAGAGAGAGACACGGACCTTACTTCTTCCTGCCTGCCTTCTGTATGGATTTCTTCGTTTTCCTGTGTGCCTCCTTTCCCAGAACTGAAATACCTGAACCAAGCAGGTATTTTGTTTAGCCATTACACTATTTCCTCAGAGCACGTTCCTTTTTCCTGATGAAATGACGAGCAGCAATTTAATACTGGTTTCACAGGTAAAGCAATAACCCTCCTCTCCCCTGATCCTTATATGGTACTGCCCCTGATAGTTGTTTGGAAACAAGTGACATTCTCATTTACTTAATAGGTGGTCTACATACATATTTATCAGGAAAATCCGAATTATAACCCCCCAAAGAAGGGCTTTCTTCTGAAGACAGGCATAATTGTATACATTCACACAGAGAGAATATTGTGATTTTAGAAAGTTGGGGGAAGAGAGCACTAGAGGGTGTGAGGTATTGGAGCCGATCATGTCAGCACAGATGATAAGAAATGGACACAGGTATAGGCATTTTGTTCCATTGATTTTTCTCTTACCTGGAGTTTAAAAACTGCTTACAAGTTAAAAACCCAAGATTTTTCTCTGGCAAAATTTAACTATGCTAGTAGGCCCAGGGCACACTCACATTTCAAAAGTTTATATTCCCTAACTTGATTAAAATTAAAATCTAAGTTTTAAATATGTGACACAAAGGAACAATCATATTTATCTTTTTGAACTTTTTTAAATCTCAGAGAGCCACACCCTGGGTGTGACAAGAGCCATATGCCTGGGTTTCAGGTTCTGCTGGAGGTGCTCTGTGTCACTGACTTATAGAATTAGAAAGGCTGAGTTACTGGGGTGAGGGTTGGGGGAAGGTCAAAGGAATGTACCATGGCCACATGATCAAGAACACCCAGGAAAAATATGATTCCCCAGATGCTGTGTAGGCAGAGGCAGTTATTGTATTCCTCAGTTTGAAGGTGGTAAGGCATGAAGACATTAAAAAATTAAAGTGCTACATAAAATGTTATACAGTGGGAATAAGGAATATTATCCTGAGCTTTTAGGCCCAGGAAACCAGAAAGTTCTAGGGGCTATACAAGGTCTGTTTTTGTATTCTTAGACATAGACACTTACATGACATCGAAGCTGAAGTCCTAAAAGACTCCTGACACTGGTATTTCAAAACAGAGTTTACCCAGCAATTACCAGTATACAAGGTCTGTTTTTGTATTCTTAGACATAGACACTTACATGACATCGAAGCTGAAGTCATAAAAGACTCCTGACACTGGTATTTCAAAACAGAGTTTACCCAGCAATTACCATACTTTGGATAAACCTTACAAGCTATATTACTTCTACTGTGCAGAAAAGGAAATTTAGGTTGTGACTCTTCCTTTTACTTCCAAGTACATTATTTGCACCTGTAAGAATAAGATGGGCTAGCCCAAAGCTCTTTTGCCATGAAAGTGCTAGAGACTCCCAAAATTTACCTCAGTGGGAACTTAGGATGAAACAGTATAGGGGAAGTGTTAGGAATCCCTGGTGACCAGAGTCATGTACACCCCTCTTCCAGACAAAGAGATCTGCAGCTCTATCTGGGGAAGCATTCTAGATGCTAATCAGACCCTTGCTGAACTGCATGCAACACCCAGGCTCTTAGAATTCGCAATCACCCTGTATTTATACGAAGCAAGGGTATCCAAGCATATTGTGCTATTCAGCCCAAATGCCTTTTTTGGATTTGATACTTTTTTCTCCACGGTCTGCAGGGAAACAGTGGGTGGGCTCAGACAGAGAAAAACAGGAGTGTTCCCCTGCCTTGGTCACTCTCCAGATGTGAGTGGTCACTGAAGGAGGCACATGCATTCTTTCAGGGCATAAGAAACCACTATGTACTCTGCAGCAGAGCAGCAGTATCTCTTGCTCCAAAAGAGTAAATTGTGCAATGTGG